GAGCTGTGGGTTAGTGGTATGGACTTTGTCATGTAAGAGAGTGGGGGGCGTGGGAGCCAAGGGTGGGAAAGAGAGAAGAGTGGAGGGATCAACCCAGTGAATTTACAGAAATGAGGGATGAAAGAGGTGAGAGCGGAAGACTAAGTGGCAGAAAAGTCCATGGAGGTTGATATACTGAAGGCTGCAGGAAGTGCAGGTGGATGGGCGAGTGAGTGTTGCCTAACGTTAAATGGAACAATGGTTCTTTTGTGAAATAGTGGATTTTGAAGTTAAAATGGAAGTTAGGGCTACCACAACGTTCCAGCTTTTTTAGTTTAATTAAATGCTACCCTAGACTTTCCCCACTGTTTGTTTGATATGCACATCAAGGGTAAAATAAGAATGAGAAATGTACTAAACTGTGGTACTGTTTGTATAAGGCAAAAGGTACTGAAAGGACCCTTTCCAATAAGACACATCTAGTTTGTCATTTCTTTAAAGTATCTAGCAAGGTTTCCAAGTACAGGTATTTTCCACCCTTAAATACTTTGTAACTTCCCAGCATCTAGCATCCACTGATCTGGTTGAAGTTGGATAGGTGTTAATATCTTTGAGATGACCTGGGTGATGAGCTTTCTTCAAGGTCACAAAGCAAGCTGGTGGTAGAATCTGCTGTAGAACCCCCAAATCCTAACGCCTTATCCCCAGAACTAATTACTTAGGACACTGTCACTGCTTTTTAAAGTTAGATTCCTCCCTCTCTTCCCCCATTGGGCAGTGTCTTGTTTTTGGACATTGGATGGTCACTAAGAGAGGTCTTAATGTATTTAGTGTTGTGGAAGAGGTTTCAGGACCTCATTTAAAAAAAAACACACTATACTTAATTCAGAGAAAAACAATATACAATTAATTTAATGAGCAGAACAGACTACTTAATCTTCAACAGTTACTTATCTGTAGGTTGCATTCCACAAAGAGCGAGTGTGCGTGTGCGCGCATACACACACACACACGCGCACGCGCAAAGAAATATCCTTTGTAGGAAGCTTAAAAATGACCACAGTGGATCAAATAAAGTGTCCACCTAGTTAATATCCTGGCTTGAATCAGATATTTGAGCTGTGTCTTGAGGCCTAATTCTCCATTTCCTTATACAGGTGTAACTTGTTTGATCCTCAGAGTGGTTACAGCAAAGTTGACTGCTGAGTTAGGCCCATCTGTGGCTCAGAATTATTTTTGTTCAAGAGGACTCAGACACTTTGCGTTATTGTGAGAGCTGTGGACTAATCCCTGGTGCATTGTGAAGTGTAATTGGGGAAATTAAAACTATAGAGCAAGGTGCCAGAGGATCTTAATTGTTTAAGCATTATCTTTCATGGTTTAGTCCTGAAAACAGACTGTTTATTAAAAGAAAATTATTTGTATCATTAATTTATATAAACCTGTGTCAGTGTCAGCTGTTAAAATGTTAATCTGGTTTGAACTACATTTTTTAGAAACATCTTAGTTACCTATGCAAATGTATTAATTAGCATCTCTCATTCTGTGTTTACAGCATTAAATACAAACATATTTAGTCACAAGAGCTTCTTTTGTTTTATCCACTTGTTGTCTCTTGACTCTTCAGGGTGACAGGTTTGAATAAATGGACAGAAAAAAGACCCCCTCAAACGTCTTAGTTAAACATACTTTATTACTTTGATATATATCAAAGCCTACTTCTTTAAAAACTAAGTTTATAAAAATGAACTTTAAAAAGTGATTCACTTCACTGGTCATTCACTTTATTGGGTCTTTCAAATTGTTAAGAAGGCTTTTTGAGCGCCAGGCTCCTTACGGCTGAAAAACTAATGATTGTGGCATTGCCAATTACTGATTGCTTTGTATGCTAATTAAGCATCTTTGTGGTCTCTCTGAAAGCTGACCATTATTAAATGTATATATCTTGGATTGAAGTCCAGGTTCATGAGTTGTTCATCCAGTGATAAAGTATTCAGTAAAGTATTCAGGGAGGCATGGCTTTTTGAAAATATTAATGGTTCTGATTTTTAAAAGTGGGCACCTAAAAGCTGTCAAAACAGGGCACTTTTTATATTCATAACAGGGCCGCCTGGGAGGGGGGGGGGGCGGCAAGTGGGGCAATTTGCCCCAAGCCCCGGACCCCACAGGGCCCCCCCACGAGAATATAGTATTCTATAGTATTGCAACTTTTTTTTATGGAAGGGGACCCCAAAATTGCTTTGCCCCGGGCCCCCTCAATCCTCTGGGCAGCCCTTGTTCATAAATATGGACTCTGGATCTTTAACTTGAGACATCTATTTAAAAAAAATCTTGCACATATCTAATTTTGAAAAACTTTCTAGATGTATATTCAGTATGAAATTATACCAGGTCTCTTCCATCTTGAATATACTTGGTTTTAAGATCTTCCCCCCACGTTACCCGGGGTTCTTTCAACCCAAAGCTCTTGGTAACTTTCACTCTGTGCGAGGTGGTGTCAGGAAATAAATCAGGGGAGACACGGCCATCCGACCGATAGATGGCTGTCACAACAAGACAACAGAAGAGTGCTTTCACTTGAAGCTAAACTTTACTTAGTCTCAAGCACTTACACACGCCCTCAACAAGATTAGTAAAACACCCCCAACCCTTGATAATTACCAAAGCTGAGTGTGGCTTTCGAGTGACACAGCAGCAGGCTTCTGGTGGCCAAATCTTCCGTCTGCCGGTGGGGACCGCAAGATGTATCCAGAGGGAGAGTCCATAAGATTCCCCAAACGAGTCCCAACTCTCTCAAGCTTTTCCCCCTTATTTATACATTAGTAATAGAATGATATGTCCCTTAAAGAAACCTTGTTAAGTAAGCAGTTTCAATGATCAAGCAAGAGGATCCTTCTGATTATTGATTAACCAGGTGTGGGTTTTTCCAGAGTTTGCAGCCTTGAGACCCCAATAGACATTCCTGGGGCATATCTTACTCTTTTAAAATGCATGTATCACCAACTTCAACACAATTCTTATCAGGAAGGACATGGGGTCAAGCTGCCCTTTCTGTGGCACCCAAAACTCCCTGCCCCCCACCTGCCTTGGTCAAGCTGAGACTGTTTAATAGCTTGCTTTTAACAATAAGCCATAGTGGTTTTAGGCACTTTACTTGTTTGCCAAAGTCTCCCTGTACACCTATGCCCTATAGTTCATCCTCTTGGCTGTTTCTGTCTAGGTTTAAATTACTGTAATGATGGAACTTTAACTTTTTCCACTGAGAAACTATTCTACTGACTAATAGACTTCTCTAGAAAACCTTCCTTGTATTCAATTTAATTTTCAAGATATGGACCTCCTCAGACCACCCTAAATGATTCCTCTCCCCTCTCTTCTCCGCACAGTGCTTGTTTCAGAAGGTTCTAGTCTCCCTTCATCCTGCTTTAGCCATCATTTAGGCAAAAACTCACTCATATATATTGTTCTTCTAATGGTTTCTTATAAATCAAGTCTCTCTAGTCCATTAATCATTGTTGCTTTTCTGAACTCCTTCCAACCTTGTTTACGCACTTGGGTTCAGTGTTGTTGGAGATAGTTTGAACAAAAAATCATGAAAAATGTATTTGCTTTTTCATCGAAATATTGAGCAGATCTATTACTTGGACAAAATGGGGAGATTTTTTTTTCCCAAAAAATATTTTGCAAGAATACCTTTTTCCTAATGTGTGATTGACTTATGCCAGTTAGCAAGTAACAATAAGATAAGTATAACAGACCTCCTAGAGATTGAGAAGAATTAGAATTTATTCTGTATATATGAGAGGTTATTGAATAACTCTTCATTTGTAGCGGTTTACAAACTTTCTGATGATTTTTAAATGTTAACTATCTGTAAATATTGTACTTCATTGGCAATGCACACTTCCCAAAGTGAGGTTGAGAGTTGTAATAATTGTTAGTACCACATGAGATAGTTTTCATCTCTTGGTAAACGGTTAAAACAACCACATTGACAATGCTGTTCATTTTTTTTATTACAAACAAAATGTGTGAATAGAATTCTAAATTTGCATAGGCCCTGATCTTGCATAGACTTACTCTGTTCTTACAGCCAAAGGTGTGAAAAGATCTGTCATGGTTCCTTGTAATGGCTCACAGCTAAGAGTGCCAAGTTCAGGTTAGATGTCAGAAATCAGAGCAGACAGCCCAGACTGATGGTATATTGGATCATTAGATTTCACCTAGCCAGTAACAAAAGTATACTCCTGGATCACTATATTTTTACCATGGAGCCACAGTCCGTCCCCTTTAGGCTTTCTGGAGCCTATTTTACCACCCAGACAGACTGGACTTAATGATGAAATGTTATTAAAACCAAAATTCACCTCTCTAGATTACTTCCAGCCCCAAAGGGCAGTCACTTACCCAAAATGTGCTCAAGATCTCACCAAAGACAGTCCTTCAGTAAACTAAAATTAAAGATGTATTAATTAGGAAAAAGGAATGAGATATAGCAAGGTTAAAGCGGATAAAATACATTACAGGTGAATTAGGGTTTTTAGGTTCAAAATAAAAGCAGTGATGTGCAATCTGCCAGTCTCATAGCCTTTTCATAAATTCTCTCAGGGTTTTCCCAAAGTGTATATGGGAAACTCTCTGTCTTATATCTGGAAAGCTCCCTGACAACATCCTAAAAGATCGAGATGTCAAGATCATTCCCAAAGTCCAGTATTTATAGTTGAAAACAGCCTGCCATCTGTTTTTAGCATAGCGTGTGTCCGTAGATTTCACAAGCAACGCCCTACGCTTTGAAGTCCGTGTTCCTCCTTGCTGAGCAACTATAGACAAATTAATTCACAACTAAACGCTAACACACATTGTTCCAGGGTTAATTAAATATAGAGACAGCAATCACAGGTAAACGTAGTGTAAATGTAATTAACGGAACATGTGCCATGTGTGACAACATCTTCCTTTGTTCTGTTCTAACAAGCGGATACAAAATAAAATTACACATTTGCATTTTTCGTCTAATACAGGTAAACTGTTTCACATCGATTTTGGTTACATTCTGGGTCGTGACCCTAAGCCTCTACCTCCCCCAATGAAGCTGAATAAGGAAATGGTGGAAGGTATGGGAGGCACTCAGAGTGAGCAGTACCAGGAGTTCCGTAAACAGTGTTATACGGCTTTTCTACATCTCCGCAGGTAGCAACGCTATTTCTGTGTTAACAATTGCTTGATCGACGGTGTGTGTGGGGGGTGCCTTTTCCCCCCAAAAAAACATGAAAACTTATATATACTCCTATTGGTGTCCATGATGCTATAAAGAAGAGACTAAGAGATGGGAATTCTTGAGTTCTAATCACGCTTTTGGCACTGACTACCCTTCTGTAGCATTTGTCATTATAAAATATCTTCTGTCCACAGATCTCAAATTTCTTTACAAACATTAATTTAGCTTTGCAACACTCCTGCAAGGTGGTAAATGATTGATAATGTATTCAGGAGATGTGTTCTGTTGCTTAGCAAATCTTGGACTGTTTTCTGGTTAGGCAAATTGGTGTCTCGGGTTATCATTGATGAAATACGGAGCCTTTCAATTCTTGACTACTGCTCCCAAATTCAGATTAGTAACAGCCAAACACATGTATCCTCTGTTGGCTGGTCAGTGGCCTACGTGAGTTGACTTGGTAATCTTATTCCTGTTCCTGCAGAATAAGTATTCACTTCTCAGAATCCAGTATCAAATGTTGGCAATAGTAGACTCTTCAAAAAGGTTTGAACAGGCATAGAGACTAAACTAGCACACTACCTCCTTCCCACTAGAATGTCCTCTTTCAGAGTTCAGGCACAGGATAGGAGAAGCTTGCGTTGCCATTGTCTGTCTTGTGGACAAATAAGACTTCTGTTTTCCATTGCTAAGCACCTTTTACCATGCCCTACAAAATTCATTTAAAATATGTTGCCTGGTTTGTCCTTTGGGTGGCAGAATGGCTCAGCTTTGCCCTCCAGTCCTGTTACAACAGTGAGCAGGTGAACAGTTTCCTCTATTTGCCAAAAGCAACAGAGGGTCCTGTGGCACCTTTGAGACTAACAGAAGTACTGGGAGCATAAGCTTTCGTGGGTAAGAACCTCACTTCTTCAGGTTTCAGAGTAGCAGCCGTGTTAGTCTGTATCCGCAAAAAAGAGAACAGGAGTACTTGTGGCACCTTAGAGACTAACAAATT